GAAGTCAATGGGCGACGGTAACCACTTACCATCAAGTGGGCCGTGTGCTCGTCTGCCTAAAAGGGCAATAAAACAATACATATATTATATTCATTCTTTAACATTTCAACTACTGCGAATCGAAAAGTTCGTGAGGTCACAAAATATTGTTTAATGCCTGTGCGAAATATGACTACTTAGTTGGTATTCGTTACTGCGTCAAGATAGAAATCACAATACCACCGCTTACCTGCCCATGTGAGGTAATCATAATCTGTTCCTAATCCATAGTCGTTTCTCAACACGTGCCAAGTACGTATCTACTTATAGAGAATAGTATGTGTAATGCAGAATTTGAATGAAATACAATGGGCATTATTTAGTTTAAGTTACGAACTTTTTAATTTACAACTTTAGTATTGCAATAAATAAATACAAACACGGTCTTGATCTCAATAAGAATCGTACAATAACTTATTCTGTTCTTGGATGGAGACGCGCGGAGACGAAGCGAGACCGGGAGGCTGCACTGTTCAAACACAAACGATTACATCATCAAACTGACGGAAGATAGTCTTAGGACTGTCAGTAATGCGCTAGAACGGGTCAAATGATGCTCTGCTTGTTTTTACACGCTTTATATTAGCTTCACTTGTATGTTTGTATGTTTATAACTGACTCCTTTAGACGTGATTTTGATCCACTTTAAACGGCCAAATTTCATTCAAAATTTGTAGATTTATCGAGGACCGAAGATAATTCAATATTTAAAAAAAAATAAAAAAAAATGAAATTCAACTAAAAAATTAAATAAAAATATGTAATAGTTTAAAAAAAATAAAAAACACGCTTTATATAAAATTGGACTAAAAAATAGAAAAATAAATAAAAAAAACGTAAATATTTTTTTTATTATTTTGTAAAAAAAGCGTAGGGTGCTTTTAAAGATATTATTGAAATAATGATTCTTCTCCTCATATTTGTCAGGTAAATATTTATAACTAATAACACCATGCACCCCACGCTTTTTTTTACACAATTTGCAATTTAAATTTATTAAAATTTATTTTCTATTTTTTAGTTCAATTTTATATAAAGCGTGTTTTTTTTGTTTTTTTAAACTATTAGCTATTTATCCTTACTCAATTTAATCAGCTCTAACTTAACGTCAGTTTCCACATTCAATGACATTAAGCTAGGACTTCCCTGCGATGTAAGTGCCGTTCATATGTATTAGAGACACTTTTAAGTACATATACTCTAATAAAGAATAAAAAAATAAAAAAAGAAGTACATTGAGACTCTAACAATATCTTTGGCAAAGAAATGGCACGTTTTGACCATCGTGGCGTAAAGGTTAAGACACCCGGTATATTCGGATCGAGTGATGCGACAGTACCAGTGTTCGAATCAACAAGCAGGTACCAATTTTTCTAATGAAACACGTACTTAACAAATGATTTGCACGATGAAGGAATAACATCGTGTACATCATAAAAATCAAACCCGCAAACAGGCGGTAAACCGTATTTTGAGGCCGTACGGCTAGGTACCACCACCCTACCTGTTTCTGCTCTGAAGCAGTAATGCGTTTCGATTTAAAGGGGGAGGCAACCGTTGGACTGTCGAACTGAGACTTAAAATTTGTGTTTTAAAGTGGGTGGCGATGCTCTTGTTGATGTCTATAGGCTCCGGTAACCACTTAAAACTAGGTGGACCGTGAGCTCGCCCAATCATCTAAGGAATAAAAAAAAAACGTTTGAGTTTGAACTGAAATGTTGGTAACGCAAAAAAATCGAAAAATGAATTTTAAGCCGTAAATCACATTTAGATTGTTGTGACGCTGACATAGTCGACGTCGCCCCAACCACTAACGGTGCTTTTAGGTACCTCAAGCACCGGTCGTCAAGCCCTTCGTCGCAAGCGACGGGCTCGACGAGTAAATTAACCCTCAGACACAGCCCACTGAGTTTTTCGCCGGATCTTCTCATGGTAGATTCTCCGGTGGTAGATTCTGCGAAGCACGGCTCTTGCTAGGGTTCGTGTTAGCAACGTCGTCAGGTTTCAGCCCCGTGAGCTCACCTACTAGTTAAGGTTACGCTGAAATAGCCCCTCAAGGCTATCAACTAGATAGGAGAAAAAAAATCTGACATAAACATGCTGTTTTACGAAGTAAAGCAACATTCGTGGCATACCGACAGAGAGAGGCATCGGTGAATTTCGGCATTTCGGATATAGTCTCGTACGGTCCCGGGTTTCAATCAGCCTCCGCTTTACTTTTTATTTTACGTGGCCCCCGGCGAAGACGTCTGCCTTCGTGGCTATTGATTACGGTGCACCGGGTCTTGTAGACTTATGGGGTATCTTTTGGGACGGATTCATAAGATCCAATACGTTTTATTTTCATTGGTGCACATGGTCCGGTCGTCTGTGGAATAAATGGAATATACCGGCAGTCATAAAATTGATCTCATGATAATGATTTAAGTTGTCGTGGCCTAAAGGATAAGACCTCCGGTGCATTCCTATCTAGCGATGCAACGATGTTCGAATCCCGTAAGCGGGTACCAAATTTTCTAATGAAGTAAGTACTTAGAAAAAGTTGACAATTGACTTTCACGGTGCAGGAATAGCATCGTATAATAAAAATCAAACCCGCAAAATTATAATTTGCGTAATTACTGGTGGTAGGACCTCTTGTGGGTTCGCACGGGAGGTACCACCACCCTGCCTATTTCTGCCGTGAAGCAGTAATGCTTTTCGGTTTGAAGGGTAGGGCAGCCGTTGTAACTATACTGAGACCTTTGAACTTATATCTCAAGGTGGGTGGTGCATTTACGTTGTAGATGTTTATGGGCTCCAGTAACCACTTAACACCAGGTGGGCTATGAGCCCGTCCACCCATTAAAGCACAAAAAAAAATTTTTGTTTATATTTTTTCTTAAAATAATTATGATCTTCTTTGCTCAATGTATACAATCATATTATGTTTCGAATTATATTAATAGTCAGTTGCTGCCGATAGCCGGTCGAAGGACCGTGTTTTAGCTGTTCCCTGAGCATTGCCTATCATCATCAGCAACGCTGACATCTGATAGGCAATAAACTAAGCCCTATAGACACTGCCACCCTTTGTTGCCCTAGAATAGGCGTCCCTGGTGCTTCGCAGTCCTGATAAATGCTTAATACTAGATGGGCTATTCACTCATATATTATCAGATTGTTCATTACGAGTTTGAAACATATTAAAAGCTAAACTAGCAGTACCAAAGTAAATATTCACTAATATTAATTTTCTGTTTCACACGCGCTTCATAAGGGTACGTCTAGGCCCCAAGCGATCACATAAACCGGACGTAATTTGCGTTCAACTTTGTGTGACGTCACATGATTCATGTGACACGATCGTATACATCAACTGTAACACCTGAAAGATCGCCTGTCCCAGTACACAGTCAGATCGGTGCGTGGTTACGGTGGTAGCGGGAGCATAAGTCTGATAGCGATTTTTATTGTGCAGCACGATTCTTGAGAGATGGCAGCACGATTGCGGTATCGTAGGAACTCGGCTAACTTCGTGTTACGACAGAGCCTAGCCGATGGAGGCGCGTAGACGCTATCACGCTTACCAACCAGCCTTCTTGAAGAGCGGTGCCTCCGTCCTAAGAACTGTCATTCGTTTTCGTTTGCTAACGTCAAGGGAAGATTTCTGTATTGTTCTGAAACAACAAACGTTATTGGTGTACTCAATATATCTCTTAGCTCGATCACCCTATTCGCCCCTACGATGTCTGGCGATGGCGTTAATAATTGTGGCTTCTCCAACATATTATTATATTAAATTCTCTTTTTGCGGACCGTTCACCAGTTCGTTCACCTCTAAGCAAATCAATTTCAAAGGAAACATATTTGAAAAATTAATCTGAATACATGGAATATAAAATCAAGCGCTGTCCCAAAACTACTCCGCTAACATTGACTTCGTACCTCAAATCCGATTAGATCCCCGCTAGCGCTAAGACCGCGTCCCTAGCACTCCAGCGACGCATGTTAATCAGACAGATCACTACTAATTGCCGAGTCGAGTGTGAAATGCGGGCTTAGCGATGAAATTATCAGCAGTACGCTGTTGATTAATGGTTAATTAAACGCTGCCGTGCTACCGCGACCTTAGTTTAAATTTTAATGTATTTGGTTTGAATTTATTTCAATAAATGGTTTGAACAATAATGAGCTAATACACAGGACACTAGTGGATCTCCAGCACTTTGCTATGGGCTGTGGTAACCTCTTAACCCAAAAAGGCACGCCACCAGTATTTTTATAAATATTCTCAACCTTAACTCTCAAATTTTTAGCTAATTTAAATACATTTTACTGCACGATCCTTAATATTTTTTTCTAACTATAAACAGATAGTAATTTAAGATTTTTCAGGATTTTGTTATAAAAGTAAACACGATTTTTCGTTTATCGTCAGCAGATCACTCGTTTAGTATTCATATCGTGATAATCACAATATTATCTGCACGTTATTTCGGATCCTCCCGATCCACTAACGGTGCTTTTAGGTACCTCAAGCACGGGTCATCGTTTTCGTCGAACCCGTCGCTTGCGACGAAGGGCTCGACGAGTAAATTAACCCTCAGACACAGCCCACTGAGTTTCTCGCCGGATCTTCTCAGTGGGTCGCGTTTCCGATCCGGTGGTAGATTCTGCGAAGCACGGCTCTTGCTAGGGTTTGTGTTAGCAACGTCCGCTGAAATAGCCGCTCAAGGCTCTCAGCTAAGGTAAAAAAAACAATATCTGAATAGTCTTTTTATTCTTGGAACGAAGTTCTTTATGGGACGATGGGTAGGGGTAGGGGTACCCTAACCGGGAAAAAACGTCCATAACGTAAGATTTTTTCTATTTAGTTTCCTATCAACAGATGTCGCTGGACGTAAATCCAATAATTCCTGAATCGTGGTGACGAGATGTTACACAGTTGATAAGCGTTCTCGTATTTCTCTTGCTAAATCATACTTACTTGGTATAGATAGGGCATACCGTGATCATGCAGGCGGTTCCCCCAGGGTGAGGCTGCTCCTTTGCACTGCGGAGAGGTTGACCCTTGCGATTATTTTTATTTTTTTCAATAAAAAAATCATAATAAAATATGTATACCCGATTAATTATTTTTTTTATACCTCAAATAAAACTTAAAATTAATATTTTTATAATAAGGAACTTCGTTCCTATCCCACGACTACGACACCACACATCTTTTTTTTATGGCTTAGATGGGTGGACAAGCTCACAACTCACCTGGCGTTAGTGGTTATTGGAGCCCATAGACATCTACGACGCAAAGGCCACCACCCACCTTGAGATATAAGTTCTAAGGTCTCAAGTATAGTTACAACGGCTGCTGCCCCACCCTTCAAACTGAAACGCATTACCTACTGCTTCAGGGCAGAAATAGGCAGGGTGGTTGTACCTACACGCGCAGACTCACAAGAGGCTAAGTATATTTTTAGGAAAATAATTAAAAACATTTTTCGTGTATTAAAATCTGCACAATACAAATCCCAAGTTGTCAAAATACTCATTTCCCTTTAAAGTCGAGTGCACACAATTACTTCACATATTAAGGCGGGCCGCACCTGTGTGTCGACTCCTCGGCTGCCGATGTCGGCGAATACGTGTTACAATATTTCACTGAATATTCTGTGAAGTATGAAATACTTGTTATCGGTACGTAGAGAGATTTGGTACCGAATGGATATGAATATTAAGAAACCTTTCTATTGAATGTTTTTTTCTTATTGCTGTTGCTTTTAACGGTAGGCAGCGGTTTGGCTCTGCCCCTGGCATTGCTGAAGTCCATGGGCGACGGTAACCACTCATCTTCAGGTGCATGCTCGTCTGTCTGCACGAGCAATAAAAAAAACTTCCCGAAACTTTATTTTCTTATGTGTACACTATAATTTATTGCTATAATTGACCTGGTTTTACGATCAGTCTGTAGTGATGAGTACGAAATGTATTTTTAATACGCTTTTAGTAGCTTCAGACGTATATATGTTAGTATCTACACCCCACGCTTTTTTTTAGAATAAAATAATTTTTTCTTACATTATTGTTAATTCAAATTTATTAAAAGTTATTTTATATCTTTTACTTGGATTTTCTATAAAAGCGTATTTTGTTAGTTTTTTTTAATTTCGACCCTGTTCTAAGCCAGTCATCCGACTTCAATGAATCTTGGTACAGCTTTTCTTGGTACTATAGCAAATGTTTCTGCTTATAGTACGATCAGGTAACATGCGAATTGTTTCAATAAATACATTTTTTCAGCTTATCTTGACCGATTTTAATAGAATGTGCAATAAATTTGATCCTTAATGTCTCAGTGATTATGGTCGTATTTCAATAACAGGCCAAACATTGATTATTACATTTAAGGCATATTAGGCTGTATAGTGAACACGCTGATGGAAGAAATTCATGGCCAAGTGTTAAATGAGTCTCTAACACGTTGACTGCCATGTAGGTCACCGGTGCCCTACGCGGCGCACTAAAGTAATTATCTCGATTTCTGTTGCGCCTGGATTGTCTAACTTTGCCTTCTTTTGTTTGTTAATGTGTCTTTTAGTCTTTCAAGGTCTGTCAGAAATAGATTTATTCTCAGCATCTTCGGATTTTATGAAATACGTACTCAACAAATGTTCACGATTGACTTTCACGGCGAAGGAATAACATCGTGTAATAAAAACCAAACCCGCAAAATTATAATTTGCGTAATCACTGGTGGTAGGACCTTTTTCTTGGGAGTCCGCACGGGTAGGTACCGCCCACCCCGCCTATTTCCGCCGTGAAGCAGTAATGCGTTTCGGTTCAAAGGGTGGGGTAGCCGTTGTAACTATACTGAGACCTTAGAACTTATATTTCGAGGTGGGTGGTGCATTTACGTTGTAGATGTCTATGGGCTCCAGTAACCACTTAATACCAAGTGGGCTGTGAGCTCGCCCATCCATCTAAGCAAAAAATCGTTTTCACTAGGATCTACTAGATGTTCGGGCGCCTTAGTAAGAAGATCGAAGAGAGAAATCGTCATAATTACTTCAGTACGCCGCGTAGGGCTCCGGTGAAACACATGGCAGTCAAGGTGCTAAACAATAATAGCTGGCGAACTAAAACCCAAATCTCATTTGCGTCGTAATAAGTTTTCCCTCGTATTTTTCCAGAGCATAAAACATATTCGGAGAGTGCTCTGTTAATATGAACAATAAGTCAGCCGGCACACCTGCGTCATGCAGTCTTAATCGCAGTCGAACGCTCGCGAGTACATCGGACGATTTCTAGCCTATATGTACATTTTACTGATACAAAAAACATAAGCTTGATGTGCCGATGAGTAGGTTACATAAGATACGAAATTGATTCGGTTGTTTGTCTGTGCGCCTGTACAATAAAATCCCACAAGATGTTCAGAACCTACATATACATAGGCTTAAGAAAACTATTAAAGAACATTTGTGCAATAAAGCTTACTATAAAGTCAATGATTTTATCTAGAAGATTGCACAAAGTGGGAATGAGTTGCTCGCTCCGGGCATTTCAATATTGCAATAATTGTCACGTTATAATACTCCTTGTAAAAATGAATAGGAAAAAAAAACGAATATAAAAAAAAACTAATATTTCAAAAAAAAAGACATGCCCGCTGAGTTTCTTGTCAGTTCTTCTCAGGACGGAGGCTAGTTCTTGTGAATTGGCGGTAGTTCTGTTCGACGTTCAACGAGTATATACTTTCATTTATGTTTAATATTTATTTTTTATTTGATTTGATTTGGTTTGATATGTTTTATAAGACCCATAGTATTTGTTTTTTGGACTAGATTGGCGAATGAGACCACGGCCAACCTGGTATTAATCAGTTAACGCAGCCTGTGGGCATAAAAAACTGAATGGCACCGCCCAATTTGAGACACAATTTTGAGGTCTGCTCAGAAGTACACAGAATAGTAGTTTTCGCTCGTGCGTCAATACCACAAGCCGTCGCCACTAATATTTAAATATATAGTGATCTTACGTTGGGAAATTCGTTTGTGAGCAAGTACTATGTACATATTTATTTATCAAAAAAACTTATTATCTGATTGCGGGATTCAAGTCACGGCTTAGGCACATGGCGCGGCAAGATAATATACTGCTGGTGTTTTATCTTTTAGGTTATGATGATATTAAATAACCACGAACTTTTATTACCTTGTTTACTTGCCTACTAGGTAGGCATATTTGTAGGCAGTTACTTGGTTGTGCAATGCTGATGTCCATGCGCGACGATAACCACTTATCATCAGGTGGGGTCTATGCTCGTATGCCTAAAAAGGCAATGGACAATGGAAGTCATGTTTAGTTCAACCCGCCTAATGGATAGTGGCCACAAACCTTCACGATTAATAGAAACGCCGGAAGCATAGCTGAACTGTTGCCTAAGGCTTATAACTCTTTTGAAAACCAAAGGCAGCGGAATAGAGCTTAGGTGTACTATAAAGTAATATTAGTCCCAGTGCATGATAGTACCGTAGGTAGATCTTTGGAAACAGAAAGCCTAGTGGTTTCAGGTGGTCTATTGAATTCTACTCCGGAGGCAAGTGGAACTATAATAAATATAAGCAGATCGTCTGATTTCCCCACAGAATATACGGTTTAAAACACGAACAGAACCAAAATTCGTATGCTGCCGTCGCGTGATACTGTTCTGTTCATGTGGTAGCTCTCCGTTATTGTTGAAATAGATAAACGTTAGTTTACGATTAATTTTTATTACCTTCTGCCGGTTAAGTATTTTCTTTCGAAAAATTTCTTAACAAAATTCGCTCGCAACAAAGAAGATTTTCTTGTAGCCGGATAAAAAAAAAAAACTAAGCATCCAAAGGCGTTTTCGCATTGGCTTAGCGATTCCTCCGCCAATTGCACCCGGATGGGTATTCAAAGCGATCGCGCCATTCAAAGATCACGTTCTGTTGGACCGTGACCTGAGTCATAAACGAGAGCGATTTAGATGAGTAAAATAAAACAATTACCTATTTCGTATCACGATCATTCTCTTCTTATTACGCAAACAGTGAATTTTGCTACCAAGAATTTCAAGATAGTTTTGCATTCCAAATATGTAACAAAAACATTCGCATAGCTGGTTCCATGAGAACGGCAATATCAATTATGGACCCTTTCTGTATGAAAATCAGTACTTAAATGGAAATAAGTAGCTGGTATTTGGTAATAAGAGCACCTTGACTAATTAGACTGCGGACCTTTTTATAGACTTCCTTTGTTTTTTATCGTTAGTAGCATAAGATTTTCTTCCAATTACGCGAACATTGGATATAAATGTACTTTCTATCACATTGAAACTTCTATGAGATAACTACGGTATTAGAAGAGCTATGGTGCTAGAATCCCTACTCTCTGTTGCTTTTTGCATGCCTTTTATGTTTTTTTTTTTATTGCTTAGATGGATGGACGAGCTCACAGCCCACCTGATGTTAAGTAGTTACTGAACCCCATAGACATCTACAACGTAAATGCGCCACCCACCTCGAGATATAAGTTCTAAGGTCTCAGTATAGTAACAACGGCTACCCCACCCTTCGAACCGAAACGCATTACTGCTTCACGGCGGAAATAGGCGGGGTGGGTGGGGGTGGGGAAATCCTACCCGTGTGGACTCCCAAGAGGTCCTACCACCAGTAATTACGCAAATTATAATTTTGCGGTCTTGCATGAATATGCCTTTTATAAATGTAGAAGTCGTAAAATACTGAAATTTCAGCTGTGACCCGCCACTCTTTCTACTCTTACACCACGACAGACCTAAAAGAACCTGTGTACTTAACAATGACTCGGAAGCTGGAGATAGACGTCACGGAGACCAGTCGACTCTCATTACTTACAGACGACAACGCCGATTGTTTGATTTTTACTGATATTTTTATGAAGATTCAGAATCACTTACTTTGAATTGGATGAGTATTGTATAGTTTATGTCGACATTTTGACTTGTTGACTAAGTATTCTTTGTTTTTAACACGTAGATGAGTGAACAATATCACGGATTTCGCGTAGATAAAGACTTTAGTCAGTATATCGAAATAGCTAAATCGAAACCAAATCATTTCAACTAAGCCACAAAAAT